GGTTCCACACACTCATCACTACACCAACATGCATTAGAGTTGAACTGCATTGAGCTGAGAAGGGCCTTCTGCAGCTTAGGAGTGTCTGTGTCTGCCCCCTGGCTCAAGCTTCCTTCTTCCCGTATCTTCCTTCCATGAATGGGATAGTAGAGGCCACAGCCAGAGTCCTGTAACAGCCATGACCCAGAATTAGGAGGCCAGAAATGGGATTTTAATTTTGGTTGTTGCTAACACACTGGACGCTCTTGGACAAATTACTCCTTGCCGGGCCTCAGTTTCCCCATCTGCAAAATGGGAATAATTATCCTCATCCTGCCTGCCCATTAAATACAATGAAATATGAAGTTCTGAGGCAAGAGAGGTGGCACCTCATCCTTGACTCCTCACCTGCACCCACTGACCATATCCAACCTATTGCCAAATTCTGTTGTTTCTGTTTTCACATCTCTCCTCCATATCCCCCCCTCACTGCCCACACAACTGCCTTCCTAATACTCCCTCATTGCTTCTCACCTGGACTATTGTAATAGCTGTCTAACTGACCTCCCTGCCTCAAGTCTCTCCCTGCTCCAATCCACCTACCCACTCAATTGCCAAAGTGATGTTTTCTAAGGTACAGGTCTGACCATGTCACTACCAGCTTTTCAGAAACTCCAGGGGCTCCCTGTTACTTCCAATATCAAATATAAAGCCCTCTGTTTGGTGATTAAAGCTCTTCATTGCCTGGCCTTGTCTTACCTTTCTAGTGTTCTTACACTTGACTCCCCATCCTGTACTTTACTCTCTGGCAATGTTGACCTGGCTATTCCTCTAATGCAACGTTCCATCTCCCATTGCAATGTCTTTTCCTTGGCTGCCTCCCATGCCTGGAGTGCTCTCCCTCCTCATCTCTGGCTTTCTTCAAGACTCAGCCCAAATCCTTCCTTATGCAGGAGGCTTTTCTGATTCCCCCAGCCTGCCATGCCTTCCTTCTGAGAGGATCCCTCTATGCATTGCACGATTCCACCAAACTGAGTCACTCTTTGCCTCCTGCACATACACTGGGTTTTCCCTCCTTGGTGTATTTTATAGGCTTATATTTCTCCCCATCCCTCTCGTTCCATCTATTCTGCTCTTATATCTTTTGTCCACACTGTGCGTGTTTCATGTCTGCCATGTTGTCTCCCACATTAGACTGTGAGCTTCTGGAGAACATGTATGTTTGCCTTTCTCTGTATCTCTTCTGCTTAACACAGTGTCTGGCACATAGTAGTTGCTTCATAAATGCTTGGTGACTGACCCAGGTCATGTAGATACAAACATAGTATTCTCTCCATTATGCCAACATTGGTCTGGGGGGAAAAACGGACAAGCTCTGACAACAAAGACATAGGGTCTTGTTAGAAAGAAGAGAAGGGAGGGAGGACAAAGAATTGTGATCTTGGGTATAAGGCCTGGCATAGCAGAAACACTGAAGCACAGAGTTGTGTAGAAGATGAAGGAGAGGAAGGAAAAGAGGCCCAGCCCAGGAAAGAGGGGAGGGAAACAAAAGAAGGGGATGACATGAACACTAGAGTTTTGTACATTGATAAGTAGCTTGGAATTAATTTCAGTTTCCTGGAAATTATGTTTGTTTGGTGATGGGAAAAGAATGGTAAATGTGTGTGGCATATAAATGTCTTTTGAGAGAGAATCCTTGAGAGGAACGAATGAGATTATGAGTGTGAAGGCCCTTTGAAAAGCAAAAAACTCTCTGAACACAAGGCATCCTCAAGGCAGCTGTGCCTCAGTGAGAAAGGCAGTGGATTGAAAGCCAAGAGATTTGTGGCACAGCCTGGCCTACCCTGTCACAGAGAAGGCTGAGACCATCTGATGCTAGTTTCCTCAGCACCAATCTTCCATTCCTTAATACTTTCTAGGCATCATCACCCCCACTCGCCTTCCTTCTGGGCAGAAGTCTCATCTTCTTCTACACCCCTGTTCACTTCTTCCACTACTCATCCTTTCTTTCTGTGCATCTTTCACCTCTCCTTCACTACTGACTCTCTTAGTCCTAACAGAAGCATTCCATTGACCCTTCTCTCCGATTCAGCCACCTCAAATTCTTACACCCTTCATGGCTAAATTTATTGACAAAGTTATACCAGATACCTTTTCTTGTTCATTACCCATTTTCTCATCAATTTCTTTCAATATGGCCCTTTTCCCTATCACTTTATTGGAACTACTTTTTTGAAAGTCACCAGAGACTTCCCAATTACCAAATCTAATGGCCATTTTTCACCCCAGCCCTCTTCAGCCTCTCTCAACCTTGACCTTCCCACAACTTTTCACACTGCCAATCACCCCACCCTCTCTTACTGTTTATGCTCTCCTCCCTTTGACATAAAAGATTCCATACTCACCGACTTCTTCTTACAACTACATCTCCTCTTCTAGCTTATTCAGTGATTTCTCATCTTTGTCCTGCATGGTTGTTGTAAGAGGGTCTCTCTTTGGCCCTCTTCTCTTCTCTCTTTTCCTCCCCTCCCTTTGTGGTCTAATTAACTTCTATGACTTCAACTTCCTCTACTCAGACAATTCCTAGCTCCTTATTTCCATTCCTGACTGCTCCAGGCCATCCTCCATGCAGTTGCTAAATTGATATATCTAAAGCACAGATCTCATAATGTTATGCCCCTGCTTAAGAAGTTTCAGTGAGTCCCTATCACCTGAAAGATAAAAGAAAATTTTCCCATTTGGCATTTAAAGTCTTTCATATTTGGCTCCGCTTTTTTCTTCTCTTTTCTCTTCTCTGTCTCTCCTCTCTGTCTCTTCAAGTTCTTTATAATCTATTCCCATTTTACCTTTTAGATTCTTTTCATAGTTTCATTAACTCTTGTAGGGCAGGGATGGTTTCATTTTGGTCTTTGAATCTCCTAAGTTTTGCACAGTGCCTGGCACAGAGTAGGCACTTAAATGCTTCTTGATTGATTGGTTAGTCACTTCCCTCTAGCCTTTCTATGATTCCACCAAACTGGGTAACTCTTTGTCTCCTAAACATACGGTGGGTTTTCCCACCCTGGTGTCTCCCATGGGCCTAGAAGATGGGCCTCTCCCATGGGTGTCTTCCATGGGCCCTGCCCTCTTGTTGACCCTTGTATTTTTCTTCACCCTTTAAAGCTCAACTCTAAAGCCTCCTCCTCTCTTGGACCTTCCTGGATCTCTCTGATTGGTAATGACCTTCCCTTTTGGATCTGACACTTTGTTCTGCACCTCTCTAAGCAATTGGTGATGTCATAGTATGTATTGTAGATGTCTGTGTTTGGGTCATATCTCCTCTTAGACAATGGATTCCTTAACTTATCTCAGCTTGGTGTTCTCCATACAGTAGGAGGAAGAGTGATACAATGGACAGGTCACTGATAGTTCACTTAGAGTCAGGAAGACTTGGGTACAAATCCTGTTCCTGATCTCTTTCTCTCTCTCTCTCTTTCTCTCATTCTATTTGATCTTGGGCAAGTCACTTCAATTTTCTGGGCCTCAGTTTCCTATCTGTAAAGTGGGAATAATAGCATCTATTTCACAGCATTGCTGTGAGGAATAAATGATATATGTATGTAAAGTGCTTTGCAAACCTTAAAATGCTATATAAATGTGACCTGTATTTAGGAGCAAAAGAGCTCTGGACCTTGTGTTATGAAAAACCTGGATCTGAATCTTGCCTGTACTACTTCTTGACTGTATAATCATAGGCAAACCATTTATGCCTCAGATCCCTCATTAACAAAATGGACAAAATAAAATCTGTATTGTGGAGATGGCCTGCAGTCATGGGTAAAGTGCTGGGCTTGGAATTGGAAAGACCTAGATCCAGATTTCACCTCTGATACTAGCTGTGTGACCCTAAGCAAGTCACAACTTCTCTATGTCTTTGGAGATGTCCTGGACCTTGCATACTAAATCATCTGCTTGGTAAAGGGAGTTCCCACAGTAGAAGTTTGCTATACTGATGAGCTAACAGATTTTTGGCATAGGAAGTATCCCACCTACCTCACAGGGTTGTTAGGAGGAAAGCATTTTATTTATTTTAAAGTGCTATAAGCCTATGAGTATTATTTTTATTTTTATTGCTACCATTTATTAGCCATATATCCCCAGAAAAGTTTCTTCTATTAAATCCTTTGTAAGATTATGGTGGAGGAGGGATAATAACACTTGCTCCACATACCCCAGAGACCTACCTGTGAAGTTTGGAGGAGAGAATGATGTAACAGAGAATTAGAGTTGGAGAAAGAGGATCTGTGTTTGAACACTGGATCTATATCTATATCTTGTGTGGTCTTGGAGACCTAATTTCTCTAAGCTTCAAAGAAGTTTCTCAGATTATAGGAACACATCACAGTACAGTGGGAAAGAGCCATGACTCTGAAGTAAGAGGACTTGGGTTCAAATTTCACGTCTTACATTTTACTACCTGTATGACCCTGGGCAAGTCACTTAAGCTCTGGGGGCCGGTTTCCTCCTCTACAAAATGAGGGACTTAGACTAAATGGCCTTTAAGGTCCCTTCCAGCTCTAGAACTATAATCCTATAATTCTAAATTACTTAACCTTTCTGATCTCAGTTTCTCCATCTGAAAGAAAACGAGGGAATTGGGCTAGGTGGCTTCTGAGGTACCTTCTACCTCTATAGCTATCATTCTATAAGTTTTCTAATTATCTGAGCTTATAATTTCAGATTCATTTTCACCTATTCTGGTAGTGGGAAGAACACTGCAGTCAAAGGATCTGGGTTCAAGTCCTACCTTTAACTTAAAGATCTATGTAACCTTGGAAAGTCACTTCTCCTCTCTGGGCCTCAGTTTCCTCATCTCTAAAATAAGAGCTAGATCGTCTCTGAAGTCCCTTTCAGCTCTAGAGTTAGGAAACTATGATTAGTCTGTGAACCACAAAAATCCTACTTAATGGCCATCTGTCATTGTCATTACAAGGCTCAAAGGTTTCCCGCCATATGGCTTAAGAGAATGAAGGCCTCCTGACCTGGAGCCTGCTCTGTGGTGATGACTGTGGTTGTGATGATGGTGGAAGTGGTTGTCTCTTGGCTCTCCTCTGAGGCTGAGCTGGTCAGATCATTCTCCGCCATCTTCTCCTTCAGAGAAGTGGAACTGGCCCCATCCTCTAGTGGAGCATCCTGAGCTGTGGGAATGGATGCCTCGGCCTCATCTGGGCTTTGCAGCAAGGTGTGTTCCAGGAGTGGGAGGGAGGTATAGGGGGAGATCTCCAAGGGGGCTGGGGTGGTGGGCCCACCGCCTCCTTTCCTGCCCAACCAGGAGGGCTGCTCGGCTGTGCCATGTTTGCCCTCCAGGGTGCCTGAGGCCAGGTCCCCTGGTGCGTGGGGTTTTTCGGTAAAGAAGAAGAAGCCTGGACTGGAGGGGGCAGGCTGGGAAGCTGTTCTCTGTAGCATGGAAGGAGTAGTCTTTGGCCTCAAATGCTTCCTTGCAGTGTTCACTTGTTTGAGAGAGGGGGGCTTCTTCCTTGGTGGAAAGGTATGCTTCCCACTGGCTTCTGAAAGGGCTGTGGACACTGGCGGGTTTTCTAGGTGGGCTGGAACTGTTCCCTCAAACTCCAGCTCTGCAGCTTCTTCCCCTGGCTGGGCTGCACTTGGAGTGGTACTTACTTTCCCTTCAGCATTCTCCTTACTGATCTTGTTGTTTGCCAGTTCTTGAGGGTGTAGGTGGTATAGGCTAGAGGGCCCAACCCTCCCTTCTGGGTAAACATCTAGGAAAGAAAAGAAAAGATGGAAATAAATTCTTGGTTATTTGTCTAGGACTGTGGACTGTAACAGCTGGAAGAGACCTTGGAGGAAATAAGAGCATCTAGTCCAGTGCTCTCATTTTACAGATGAGGAAACTGAGACCCAGAGAGAAATGATTTTCCAAAGGCCACGTAGAGCATTGGGGTATTGAATGTCAGAACTGGAGGGGTCTGAGAATAGAGAATGTCAAAACTGGAAGGGGTTTTTTGAAGAGAAGATCAGAGCTAGAAAGGACCTTAGAAGAACATAGAATGTCAGGGGCAGCTAGGTGGTGCAGTGGATAGAGCACCAGCCCTGAAGTCAGGAGGACCTGAGTTCAAATCCGGCCTCAGACGAAACACTTGACACTTACTAGCTGTGTGACCCTGAGCAAGTCACTTAACCCCCATTGCCTAAAAATAAAAAAAAGAACATAGAATGTCAGAGCTAGGAAGGGTCTTGGAACAGAGACTGTTGGAACTGGGAGCAGCTAAAAGAGAGAGGATTGTTATAGTTGGAGGGGACCTTAGACCTAAGATGTCAAAGCTGGAAGAGACCAAAGAAAGAAATTCATTCTGTGTTCTAGGCCCTTCCTAGCTTTGACTTTTAATGCCCTTCCTTCCTTCCTTCCTTCCTTCCTTCCTTCCTTCCTTCCTTCCTTCCTTCCTTCCTTCCTTCCTTCCTTCCTTCCTTCCTTCATTCTTTCCTTCTTTCTTAAAAGAAGAGGATTAGAATGCAAAATGCTAGATCTGGACAGGATCTAGCTATTCATGCCTTGCTAATCTGAGCTCTCAGTCACCCGCAGCATTCACCTTCTTTGCTCCCGCTGCCGCTGCCAAATGCTGCTGAAGGAAGACTATTCCAAATTAACACTAGCTCACCTAAATTGGGGCCTCACTGTTGTGTTGTAATCCTTTGATTCTGATTTGATTGACTCTCTGTCCCCCTTTCCCAAGTGCCTATTTCAATCCTTCTCTCCTCTCCTCAAGCTCACAAGTTCACTTTTCTCACCTTTCTCTCTCCACAAATATCCTTGCCTCCCACTTCACTGAGAAAACTCAGGCTATCTACCATGAGATTCCTCATCTCCCCTCCTCCATATCTCAAAATACGTTTCCACATCCACCCATTCTCTTATCCTTTGTTCTAGTCTCAGAGGATAAGACGGCCATTTGGGATGCTCAAGCTAACCTTTCCACTTGTGTTTTTGATCTTGTCTCTTCCAGTCTTCTCTAGTCTCTTCCCATCAATCACCCTCAATTTCCTAAGCTTATCTTCAATCTCTCCCCATCTCCAGTCTCCTTGCCTGTAGCCTGCACAAATGTACAGGTCTTCTTTATCTTAGAAACCAACAAGCTGATAACTTTCTTTCGACCCGGTCGTCCCCTCTCACTATCTGCCTGTATCTCTCTTCCCCTTGAAATCCAAACTTCTAGAAAATAATATTGTCTATACTTGTTCCCTCCAACCACCCACTCATTTCTCAACTCATTGCAGTCTAGTTTTTGACCCCATTGATTAGATGAAATGTTCTTTCCAGGATAATCAGTCACCTCTAAATAGCTACATCTTATGATTTTGTCTCAGTTCTCATCCTCATTGACCTTTCTATGATAGATGATGTTGTTTCTATTCTTTCCTTAGTCTCCTTCCCCTGACTCCTGTTACACTATTTTTTTCTGGGTTCTTTTGTCTCTCAACTCAGTCTCCTTCTCTGCCTCCTCCTCCTCTATTGTCCCCAAAATGTGAATGCCCCCTAAGTCTCTATCCTGGGGCCTCTTCTCTTTTGTATTGACATCATCTCTCTTGGTGTTTCCATCTTTTTCAAGGGGTTCAATGACCATTTCTCTGCAGATGACTTCAAAGTCATTATATTGCCTCCTAATCTCTTCCCACCTCAAAATGCTTGCTGGACAGCGCTACCTGGATCTCCTGCTGGCAACTTTAAGTCAACATGTGCAAATGGAATTCATTGTCTTCAGCTTTTATCCTGTCCCCAAACTCCCTTCCTGCTATTTGTCCCTCAACTTTTGTTTTTCTATTGATAGTGGCAGAAGAAGAATGCTGGACTTTGGAGTCAAGAGAGACATAGGTTGGAAACTCAACATTTCAATAGCCTATATGTGGGACCTTGGATAAGTCATTAAACCACTCAGAACTTCAGTTTCCTTATCTGTAAAATGGAGGTAAAGATGCTTCAAAAATGCTCACTTCACAGGGTTGCTAGAAAGTTCTCTGTTAAGCACAAGGGATTATAGAAACTAGAGATGTCATTGCTTTTTTTTTTATTACCTTTGCTATTAGTGCAATGGTCCTTCCAGTCACTTGGGTTTGGAAGCTCAGTCATCCTCCCTCACCTCCTGCACTCAGCCAGTTGACAATTTGATTTCCTGTTCTATTCCCGCAAGCCTACACCTTTCTCTCTACTTCCTTGGCCAACACTCTATCCAGGCCCTTACCACTTCTTCCATGAACTACTAAAATCATCAACACATTTGTTATAGGATTGTGGGACCACAGAGCTAGAGCCGAAAACAATCTCAGAGGCCACTGGGTCCAACTCCAACATTTTAGATAGGGGAAAACTGAAGTCAAGAAGAGTCTTAGTGTCCTAGATTGGGATCTCGAAGGGCATGTAGCCCAACTCTCTCCTTTGTACAGATGGACAAAGAGAGGCTCAGTCCTCCTGTCTCTAGCCTCACCTCTCAACAGTTCACTGAAGTGATTTTCCCAAAGAGCAAATCCATCGCGTCAAGTTCCCTCAGTCTCACCCTTCCCTGCTCAATAAACTGTGATGACTCCCTATTGCCCCCAGGATCAAATACAGAATCATCTATTTGGCATTCAGAGTCTTTCATGACCCAGCCCCCTCCTACCTTTCCAATCTTCTTGCACCTCAGTCCCTGATGTGTACTATTGGCTCCAGTGACACCGGCCTCTTTTCTTTTCCATGACCAAAGCACTCCACCTCTTGACTCTGGGCATTTTCTCTGGCCATTCCCCATGCTTGAAATGTTTTCTCTCTTGGCTTCCCTGGCTTCTTTCAAATCCCAGCTAAAAATTCCATCTTTTATAAGAAGTCTTTCCCAACCCTTCTCAATTCTTGGATTTTCATTCTCTAATCATTTCCTACTTATGCTGTATATAGTTTGTTTGAGGCAGCTACGTGATTCAGTGAATAAAGCACTAGGCCTGGAGTCATGAGGACCTGAGTTCATATTCTGCCTCAGATACTAGGTGGGTGACACTGGGCAAGTCATTTCATCCTGTTTGCCCCCGTTTCTTCATCTATAAAAGGACCTGGAGAGGGAAATAGCAAACTACTCCAGTAGCTTTGCCAAGAAAATCCCAAATGGAGTCACAAAGAGTTAGATGTGACTGAAATGACTGAATGACACCGACAAAATAGCTTGTTTGTACATATCGGTTTGCACATTGTCCCCTTCCTTAGAGTGTGAGCTCCTTGAGGGCAAGTCGGTCTTTACATTTTTTTTTATCTCCAGCACTTAGCCCAGTGCCTGGCACCTAGCAGATGATTAGTAAATGTTTATCAACTGATAACATCCACACAGCTGGTAAATCAATCTTTTTTTAAGTGATGGGTCTGTTTGTGTCATTTCCCTGCTCAAAAACACTCAGTGACTCCCTATTGTCTTTAGATGAAGTTTAAATTCCTTAGTCCGGCATGTAAAATCCTTCAAAATCTGGTGCTAACCTACCTTTCAAGTTTACTTCATTTCACTTCTATTCATTTATTCTACCAGACAACCCAAATAGTCTCCTAGTTGTTCTCTCACCTTGTCCTGTCTCATTCTGTACATTTGGGTAGATCATACTTCCCTCCTACCTACTTTGAAGCCACTCCTCATCTCTGCCTATGGAAAGCTTTTTTTCTCCCTTCATGTCTCAGCACAGTCACCTCCTCCTCCAGGAAGCCTTCCCTGATGACTGTCAGCTGGAAGGGCTCTCTCAATACTCAACTATTCCTACAGCACCTTATATGGTGTGCTCCAAGTTCTCCTCCCTCCCTAATCTGTATATATGGCATATCCTCCAGGTAGAATATAACCTAGTCAAAGCAGCAAGTGTATTACACATTAAATGAGTGTTATGTTCCATGTTACATACTACACACTGGAAATACAAATACAAGCAAATAGAAGGGCTGACCCTGCTTTCAAGTATTTTACATTCTAATGGGGAGGGGCGAGATATCATATAAAAGGGCAGTGGAAATGGAGAGAAGGTAGGGATAGATGATTTGGGCATGTCTTCAAAACTCAAGTTTCAGACGGACGTCATCACTGGTTGGAGCAGGTTGTAGGATTAGAGAGCTCTTCTCGGGTGGTCAGGCAGTGAGGTGGTAAAGTTCAGAGAGTCAGGACCAGATCTGGGACAGGAGTGAAGCATGGCAGTCCTGGTCACTTCCTTAGAATGGAAGTTCCAGGAAGAAATCACCAATGGGAGGAAAGGACCACAGGGGTATACCAGAGGGCACGGACAACTAAAAAAAATAAAGCTCCAGTGCTGAGCATGGGGCTTTGTACATTTTAGACACTTAATAGATATTGAACTTGATTCAGTTTACTCACCCTTAGAGATCACCTAGGGTGGCCAAAACTTCTAATTCAATTCAATTCAACATACATTCATTCCACTCTCATGCCAGGCTCAGTGCCAGGCTCTGCAGATACAAAGACAAAAATGAAACCTTTCCTTCCCTCAACAAGTTAATTCAGGGAGCAGTGGTGACCTGGAGACTATGCATCTAGACCTAGAAGGACCTTAGTGGGCAGCCAGGACAATCTATGGAAAGATAAGTAAACACAATGTGATGAATTTGCATGTCAACTCTCCAAGTTTATAAGTTGTGGGAAAGATGCTAACCTGCATTGGTAAAGAGAGTATATTTTCATCTGGAAGTTTCTGGACCTACAGATCTGGTCCTTATTGTCTGTTAATTTTTGTAGTTCAACATACAGAT